TTCCAACCCAACCAATCTGGGATCCTATGGCTCTGTGATCCATAAGGACCCTTCCAACCCAACAGTCTGGGATCCTATGGCTCTGTGATCCATGAAGTCCCTTCCAACCCAATCATTCTGGGATCCTATGGCTCTATGATCCATCTGGACCCTTCCAACCCAACCATTCTGGGATCCTATGGCTCCGTGATCCATGGAGTCCCTTCCAACCCAACCATTCTGGGATCCTATGGCTCTGTGATCCATAAGCACCCTTCCAACCCAACCATTCTGTTGCCCTTTGGTCTGCAAGGACCCTTCCAACCCACACCATTCTTTGGTCCTATGATCTCAAGCCCCCATGTCCTTGCAGGTGGTCTCCTTGGTGCAGCTCTTGTCAGACCCTTACTACCGGACGCTGGAGGGCTTCCGCCTGCTGGTGGAGAAGGAGTGGTTGTCCTTTGGGCACCGCTTCAGCCACCGTGGGGCCCAGACCTTGGCTGGCCAGAGCAGTGGCTTTGCTCCCATCTTCCTGCAGTTCCTGGACTGCGTGCACCAGGTGAGCTCTGAGCTCCTCTCCCAGCTCTTCCTGAGCTCCGGCCCTGCAGCAGTGCCAGGATCTCAGCCTTGCTGCTCCTTGCAGATCCACCTGCAGTTCCCCATGGAGTTTGAGTTCAGTCTGTACTACCTGAAGTTCCTCAGCTACCACTACATCTCCAATCGGTTCCGGACTTTCCTGCTGGATTCTGACTACGAACGCATCGAGCTGGGTGAGGGCAGCGTGTGGTGTGTGTGGGGTGCCATCCTGGCATCCTGCCCCACATAATGCCCTCCTTCCCCTCCCCTCCCTTCCACCAGGCCTCCTGTATGAGGAGAAGGGTGAACGCAAATGCCAGCAGGTCTACAAGTCCATCTGGGATTACATCGACCGGCTGAACAAGAAAGCTCCTGTCTTCTTCAACTACATGTATGCCCCCGAGGATGGGGAGGTGAGAAGCTCTGCCCGGCCCAGCTGGGGGCTCAGGGCACATCAGGGCACTGCCAGGAGCTTCAAGCAGGGGGGGGAACCCTGTGCTGGAGCGGTGGGTCCCCATATCGACATGATTTGGAACCATCTTTCCATGCATAGAGAGCTCAGCATGAGTCCCAGCAGGGAGCTGTGCTGTGCAGTGAGCTGGGGCTGCTGGCAGCAGCTTTGTCTGCTCTGCTGACAGCCCGCATCCTCACATCCCCTCTGTACTCAACCACAAAGCATCACCCATTGGGGAAGTTCTGCGTGAAGGGATCGAATCCCAGCACTGAGCTGAGAGCACCAGCAATGGGAGAGAAAACCATCGCTGATCTGGCTGTCACCCCCCCAGGTGCTGCGGCCGTACAGCAACATTTCCAA